AAGAATAAATACATTATTTTTTTTCAGTCATGTTTTCAACATTCCTAAATAGCATAAGCATGCCTTGTATTTCTGATTATTAAATAAAACTTTAAAAACAATATAATTATTGGAAATCTTTCAATCCAATAGAGTAATCCTCGCTAAATCAGTAAAGTCATAGTCATACAGAAAGAAACATTCATTTGTTATTTGTATGTAAAAATCTAAGAAGAATTTGCAGACAGAACATGTAGGAATTAATCCTGTCATAGATCAGTTAAAGAGAAGTAGCATTTATTTCAGTTCTATGTCCCACATAGTTATACAGTTTCCACTACATGAAGAAGGGAGAGAAGACGGATAGGGGGCATATTTTGCCATTCACAGGTCTTCAAATATTAAAGTTTGAAAAACTTCAGTAATGAGACTTTGCAAACCTTTTAAATGTCTATATTATACTCCCATGGAATTTAAAGTGTGCCTTCTATACATTCCTTGAGTCTGGTCTTATTACAATTTGATGTTAAACAGAAAGTAGAAACCTTGTGCAACTAGATTAATTTATCTCTGGGGAACAAAAACATTAATAACTGAGATAATGTTTTCATACATGTTGGAAGTTAGTACAGATTTCTTTTTTACTAGAAACACTAAGAAAAATATCTCATCCTCATCTATACCATCTAATTTTTGGGAAAGTTTATTTACAAGAATACTAGGAAAGAATTGGTTCCATTAACTTAAAGCAAACACATTAGAAATAATAACTGACTTTCAAAGGAGTCAATCCCTGTATGAAGATTTCCTTGTGAACTTCAGTGCTATTTTTTCTGTTAAATAAATAAATCAGAACTTATTGCCTTTGCGTAAAATGTATCAATTCTTTTTCCCCGCCAAAAATGGGCCAATGGAAAATTAAAAGAATCACAACAGAAATGAATCATATTCTTGGCTTCCTAAAGAAATTGTCTTCTCCCCGTGCTTTTTTTTTTTTTAAATCACTTGGCTGATTGATAAAAGACTGTACAATTTCCCAATGAACACCCATAGGTGTCAGGCCATCTTGTGAGGTAATGGAATGGTGTTTAATTTACTTCAAACTGCTGTATATTGAACTGTATGGATTGCACACAAAGCAAACACTAAATGTGTGGCAGGAACTCTTGCACAGACAAGCCAAAAAATGTGTCTACAGCGTCCAACTATACATCAAATGCAATAATCCTGATACTTTCCAAAGTAAAACAAATAAAAGAGTGCTACATCTGCACTAGAGCTTAATAGCCTCTGCAATAATCCTTCATTGGTTTTCTAATCATACGAAAAATTATTCGAGGACCATTAAGAATCAGAAGTTTCAGGACAACTGAAAAGAAGGAAGAGTAAGAAACTGGATTCTCCATTTGTAAAACACGTTGCTGGTTTTAAAGTAGATGTTACTGTAAATTTGATTGATATGGCCTAAGTATAATTGATCATTTTTATGATGGCCGTAAGTTGAATCATGCAGTTGTAAATCAAGTCACATAGTTGAATGTGCCAATCCAGGTTAATCAATGGTGGGTTCTACTAGGCTCTGCTGTAAAAATCTCAAATTGCAATCATGTGACCCAAAGATGATGCAATCTGTCATAAATGTGAGCCAGTTGTCAAGCACCTGAATTGCAATCATGTGACCATGGAGTGGGACAAAGTTTGTAAGTTCGAATTTGAGTCATAATTTATTTTTTCCTAAGGCCATTATTAATTTGAACCATTGTTAAGCAATGGTTATTGGTCAAGGACTACCTGTATTAATTGCAACAAATTACAATTATTTTGTCACCAATTTCTTGTATACTATATGCCTGCAGACTTTCATATTCCCATTATTTACCTGTCTTTTCTCCAAATCCTCTTTAGACCCATTACAATTCAATGTTCAGTGTCCGCAATTCACAAAGTGTAGCCTTGAGCATTCTTTGTCCTATATTATTTTCTTTCTAAACATGTTAAAATGGCAAATATTCTGACTCAATAATACTTCAATACTGATGTTATCTAGCTCTATCAATTCAAACACTACATAAATATATACATACATACATACATGCATGCATGCATGCATGCATGCATGCATGCATGCATTCATTCATTCATTCATTCATTCATAGATTCTTTTAAACAAGAATACTCAACATAAAGTAAGGAAATAAAAACAAATGAAAAAACAATGAAGAAAAAAGCAAAAAGTGCAAGAAAAGAAAAAGTTGAAAAAGAGAAATACACACACACACACACACACACACACACCAACCAATCGGCTTCAAATATTCCTCACAGCAATTGCAAGTATAAATATATTTTAATCTCTTTCTAAATTTACATCATGTTAATCTTCCTTCTATAATCTATCCCATCTCATCATCAAAACCATAAGTCACAAGTTCATTTTTTCATGGTTTACCCCCCAAAATCCATGAGGCAACCAGTCACCAATAAAAATAAATAATGTCTTTTCTCTAACCAAAAAAGTCAATTTATCCATTTCTGCAAGATCTGTCAACTTCACCAACCTTTCACAGTGCATAGTCTCAAAGCCAAGCTTCTTTGCCTCCATCCAATACTACACTGCCCGATGGTTTGACTAATTCTTTTTGTTGAATGTTATTTTGCCATAACAAATTAAGACAACCAAGACTAAACCCTTTAGATTTCTTTCTAAGCCCTTATATTCAATTACTGCATCATATTGTATCCTTCTAACTGTATGTACAGCCCTAAATGTACCCATTTCCCCCTCTCTTTAGTTTATTTATGGTAAATCTATATTTAAGATATGGATTTCTTTCTACAGAGTGTAGCAAAGATGCAGTTCTTCTTCTTGTTCTCTCCACACAATTCTGATTCACCCATTCACCATCTCCCATATCATTACCATGTTCTCTCGCTTTGATTGTCACACCTTATGTCTTTTATTTTTATTAACTTCAAAAGACACTCATCTTTAATACTTGCACTAGTTTTTTCCTCTCTAACCCAGATTTTTATTACATACAATGTAATGTATATGCCAATTAATGAACAGCAGAATACTCAGGGGTAGGTTTCAAAATTTTTAGCAAGGGGTTCTTTTCCTGGTTGCTGAGTGGATGTAGCCATGGTGGGCATGGCATAGTCGACCTCCTGCACCACAGCAGGGGGGGGGGCATTTTTGCCCTCCCTGGGCTCACAGCCTTTCTTTGAGCCTCCGGGATGGCGAAAACAGCCTCCCCAGGTTCCAAGGATCTCTGAAGGCTGGATACAGGCCCATCTCTGGCCTTCCCAAACTTCCAGTATGCCCGTTTTTCTTCCTCCCCAAGCTGCTGCATGCTCCCTGCACTTACCTGCATCCAAAATGGGCTGCGTGGGGACTCCTGAGAGGATTGGGGCCAGCCAGGATTTTGCAGTTCTTCAAACTGCATAGAATCTTAGCTAGAGGTTCGCTCGAACCCCTGCGAACGCCCAGCAGCCCACCTCTGAGAATACTTAACCCATAAGCTTCTTTGTTCCTTCTGTCAATTAATGAGCATTAATGATGCTCTGAAAAAAAACACCTCCAATTGAAATTCCTACAGGGTTTTTTTCAAAAATATGCCTAGAAAGTATACTGGCATTTTCCTGTGCTTTCAGTGATATGTAGGTTTGATATGCTTTTATTGACTTTAGCCCAACCTTCACAGTGATATTATCATTATATGGAAAAGCTAAAATGTTCAGCTAGGAACACAAAGATTTTATTTTCACTACACTAGAAGCAGTGTTGTGATTATGCTCCCCAGGCTGGATGAAATTTAGTCACAATCTAAAACAAAACCATGATCTAATTCCAATGAATTAACAGAGCCACGCATTCCCTTGCACTTTTTGAAACCTTCATTCATAGGACAATTATAGCTGCCTTGCTTCTTTAGACATTTTGTCTAGCAGGAGGATTTAATGTTGGTTTACCAGTCTACGAGAATCATATTTTGATTCTACTACTAGAATCAAAATATGATTTAACATAGAAGAGATACAAAACTCTGGTTTAAAGCCCCCACACTAAAATTCCAGAATGCTACATCAAAATGCTACATCAAGGCAAGAGGAAGAATTTCCAGCCTCCTAAAACACAGTTTAAAAATTTAAAACTATCATCTGGAAAAAAAAGCTTTTAAAAAATCACAGTGCATGTACACCAAATCAACATGCTTTTGTCAGCCAGTAAAAGATTGTACTTAGCAGTATGTGTAACAACTAACATAGAAATTGCTTCAATAAGTGTAGCTTTTATATGACACCAGATTTAGCACAAAATCCAGATGATTGCCAAATGGAACAGTGTTTTCTGTTACAGTAGGACCTCAGGTCCCAAATGGCTCATACCATGAACAATTCGGGTGCCGACCAAAAAATCCACTAAATGTTTCATTCACAAACACATCTTTGGGTGCAGAATAAACACAGCCACGGTGATTTTCCCTGCTGTGGTGATTTCCCCTTCTGCACCATTTTGTGTGCGTGTGCGCATGAGCAGTCAGTTTTGATTCTGGTCACAACCCAATCAGGCGACGACCGAAGTCCTGCAGTGGATTACGATCGCCACCTGAGGTCCCTCTGTACCAGTCCACTGCCATCTAGTGGTTGTCCAGATTTTGCAGGACTTGCTTTCAGATATTTTTTACTTTTAGAAAAGACAATAAAAAGGCCTGTTTTTCCCCTGCTCAAAATATTTATGATAATAGCTTTACATAAAGTGGTTTTTTTAAAACTATGACAACAGTCAGAAGGTCACATGTTTCAGAATCATACTAACTTTACATTGGTTCCATTCCCTGTGATTGCTAACAATCTAAAGATTGGACAGAAATGCCCCACAAGGCTGAAAGGTCTCAGATGTTCCATGCTAATACTGTTAGTGCACATACTGAAATCCACCGACGATGGACAATGAAGACAAATGAAACCAACATGAAACGAAACCCAAGCTCCCATTTGGATTTTAAACTGTGACTTACTTCCCAGAGGTGCTGAGTATTTCTGGGTCCTCCTGTTTGTACCTTTTCCGGCAGAAGAAGAACTCCCTGGAAAGGCCCAATCCAAGTGCCCTGTTGAATCCTCTGGGCTGCACAGATGCCATAGGCCAAGCCAGGAACAGTGCTGGTGCACAGACATACTTCTCGTGGCAGATCCCGAAGCCACTCCGGAATCTCAGGGGGAGGAGCTGCCGCTGCTGCACTACTAGTTCCCACCAGGCGGCGCAAAGAGTGCAGAGGTCCATGCATGGGACATTCTCCATTTCGGTTATCGGCACACATGTCACACCCTGTGGAGAAAAACAGAATGGCAAATGCTAAAGGGCAGTTCTGATTTCTAGGCTAGCAGATAAGAATTCATCCACTACATTTTAGAGGCACATATCATAGGAAATACATAGGAATAGATTTGTTGGGCACTCTTGTTTGGAGCACTGATAAATAAAACACATGAAAAGAGTTTGGCCGAGTGGTGTATTAACAATTAAGCATACTAAACACGTGCTTAAGGCACCAGACCCAAAGGAGAGCACCAGAAAGTTGAGAAATAAAGAAAAAACCAATGAAGATTTGTATAATATGTACAAAGGAGGGGAGGACCAAAATTTTTCAGTGCTTAGGGCACCAGTGAGTCCACTAGTTTGGCCAAACACTTTACCCCAAAATGTGGCAGAGACCGCTGTTCAAAATATGCCTGGACTGAGCAGAGCGAAAGGCAACCAAATCCACAGTATGCATTCCCATAGATAGTGGAGCATTTATCTAGGATGGCATATGGCAAGCAGACGCATGGAGAAGTAGTATAGAAAGCTGTCCGAGGGCAGAAGCCTGCCATGCTTAGATATGATACAAAATATGCCTGTCACTTGCAATGGCAGAGGGGCCAATTGTCCCCCCTTTACTCACAGAATAAAAATATTGGACTAGCTTTGCATCTAAACCAATTTATATGAAAGGAAGTTCTATTGACTGGAATGAGATTTATTTCCTAGAAAGCATACACTGGACAGCATCTTACTATCTTCCAACTGATTTGTGGATTAAAACTGAAGAGGTTTATTTTAACGAAGCATTCAACATTAAGGCCTGGTTCGCACATGTAAATCACGATTTATTGCGCTCATTATAATACACAAACCATGATTTATTTGGGACAAAGAATCACCCAAATTAAAGCTTTTCACACCCTGGGTTGCTTTTACAATTTTTGTATTATGTTTGACTCCAAAATGTTGCAGTACTAATTTGCATGTACCCAAAGGTATGATATTACTATTTCAGTTATGTTGGATTACAGTTAATATCTAATGAAGCATAAATATTATGCCACAAAACAAGGACTTTTTAATATTGGGGTGGTCTTCAAAATGATTGGTCCAAAAAGGCTAATGTTAAAGAATTTTTTAAAACCGCATGAAACCTTTTTATAATTCTCTTAGGAACTATATCCTGCAAAGCTGGTAGAACTATAGTTTTGCTAATTTATTATATTATGATTTTACTGTATGTGCTGTCATTATTATTCCTATTATTGATTTTGTATTGGCTTTTCTAGAATAGATTTCTATTAATTTGCAAGCTACACAATTCGCAAGCTATGGTTTATTGGATGTCTTGGAAAGCAACAAATTAATAATTTTATTAATACAAAACACTGCTGAAACAAATGACAACATCTTTATGTTACATTAAATTTTTAACTGAAAGAGAACTTTATAAGGTTTTTTTTTCTATTTCAAGTCAATAGTTTCCATGTTCTTTATATATTTTAAGTTCTGGACTCTCAAGAACATTGCTTATTCACAGAAATATATTTTTCAAATAAAATAACAATGAACTTCTTTGAATTAACTACAGTCCCTGGCATATTTTGGACATTAAAATACAATGAAAGGTTTCAAATGCTGTTCCAGAAATATATTCAAGAAGTAATGCTTGTTCTTTATTATTTACACAGCAATTCCTTTCACTCCAATAATTTTGCATCATATATATCTTGCAGCTAAAAATAAAACAAAAATATTCACCAGTTGGTTGGGCATTTGGTGGTCTAAACCATAAATTTGGAATAAGTATGCATCCTGGAACCACAAGTAATAAACCTAGTCGAATTGACACAGTTTTCTTTCCTCCTGTGTCAAATAAATTTTAGTCAAGTTTAATGTTTCAACAGCACAAAAATCCTTTCTATCCAACACGGTTATCAATTATATAACTAAAATCTACCCTCTATTCTGCTGTTGCTAAACTAGCACCTACTATTTAGTTTCAAAATCATTTTCCAATAAATTGTTCAAAAGGTGAATATAAATTTCATTTTCTTTACACTCATCCAGATCAGCTCTCTACAAACCTGCATCTTCAAATCTGTCATATTACAATTCCATCATCCCCAGCCAACCTTCAGTAACTGGGTTGATTGGGAATAAACTTGCACATTTGCAAAGACCCAGGTTAAGGAGCATATTATAGATCTAGAAAAACATATACTTATACATTGAAATTTGAATAATCCTATAAAAATATGTTGTTTGAAAACAGTAATAAGTTCTTGGTTTTTGATGTCATTTTAGTTTCACATCCCTAAAATCCTGGTGGCCTCAAGTTGAAACGTCTGAATGCCGAACTTGCTTAAGTACACAAAAATAGGTATGGAATGCTATGGATCCCAATAGAAAATTCATTTGAAGAGGTTCATGTTTTTCAATCAATATATTCATGATCCAAGTACTGAGTCAGATCAATTTCAAATGCAACATTCTTGACCCCCAAGTTCTGAAACCATTTACATCTATCCATAGTGCAAACAAACTCTTGCAACATTTTCCCCTTCCACCCATCATGTCCTCATCAATGCCATCATCATGTTCCATTCCAGGAGGAAGACAGGTTTGATTCATCCTCATCTGCCAGCATTGAAGAACTGTTTTCCTCCTTCATTTGACATAGTCAAGGGCAAACTCAAAGTGTGTAAAACCTGTTAGTCTTTGGAAGGAATTTGAATATTGGGCAGATACTACAAAGACAATAGGGATAGGACAGGATTCAACAGTGGAGACAACTACTTCATTTTGGTACAATTTTCTGCTAACTCAAGGATAAGTAGGTGAGGAAAGACCCATAAACCAGGGTGCTTACAATAGATGGATTCTTAACTCTAGAACACAAAATATATTTTCTTGGCCATTCTGTCCTTTCCTGCTTAACAGAATTCTTTAAACAGCAAAATAAAATGAAGTGGTGGACTTTCATAAATTTCCACAACTGGGGCCCATGACTTCACAAAAAAAGCCTTGTTAAGCATTTAAACTACAGCTTGGTGGGTCTGACATCCTACACATCCCGCAGCCAACTGGAGGATGGGAGGGACAGGGAAAGATTAAACGGTCAAGGTTGTAGATTGTTCCCATTCCAACCTAATTCATTGCATTTATATGTAATGTAGGAAAATTTATATAGGAAAAAAAATATGATTATACAAGCATTTCACTTTGCTATACCTAATAATTATCATTCCTCTTCACAAATAAGTTTCATGTATAACCCTCTTTACATGTTGAACTACTTGAAGTTGGTTTAATTGTTGGCTTTGATGAACTTTAAATCTATTTAAATTCCAGACCAAGAAAATATACTTCTATCCTCAAGGCCTTGTGCCATTGATTCTTTAGGACAATTTTCATTCCACATCGATCAAGGCCGATGTTCAATCTTTTGAATTTAGACTACTCTCCCTGAATGGAATATGAACAGGCAAAATAAATCCTGAAGCAAATGATACACACAAGAGCAAACAGATATATGGAAGATCCCAGACTTCCTTTCACTAGTTCACAGCAGCTATATTGTCACTGCTACCCGCTACCTTACATAGCTAGAAACATTTAGCCATTGGAAAGCTTTCTCTCTTGCCTGATGCCATGTTTTCTTCTCTCACAGTATTCCATGCTGCTGCATAAAACCTGGTTACATGCACTCTATGTACGAAAGATAGTTTGTCTATGAGCAGCCTCTGGGGATAAACTTAATCTGGATAATCAGAATATCTAGTGGCCAGAGGTAGTATGCCCTTAGTTTTGCACTTGTAATTCAGGAAAGGAAGAAACTGCAGAACTGTTTTTATTTATTATTCCTTTTTCAGAGACATTTGAACCAGATTCATACTACCTCTGGTCTGTAGATATCCTGATTACCCAGATTCAGCTTATGCCCAGAGGCTGCTCATAGCCAAACTATCTTTCGTACATACAGTGCCCGTAACCAGGTTTTGTGCAGCAGGATGGAAGATCCATCAAGATCCTGGATGGGGCAATCTTCCTGCATGGAATTTCTGTAATTATAATTTACGTATATTTTAGACATTTTCACTTGTAATCATAGGTGCCCTTGTATCTAATGTTAGTTGCAATTTATATTAAGTATGAGCCTCAGTAATAGATGTTAGTTAGTTTTATAAATGTATTCTAACTTTATCCAAAATGATTCCATTATCTACTAAGATAAATATAATTTACCAAGATAATAACTGCAGTATATGCAAGTAAATATGTTCCCATATGCAACAGAATCTACAAATCTATTCAGAAGCAGAATTGCAGGTTTTATTTTTTTAAAGAAAAAGAGTGAGCAACCGTCAGGCTTTATTCTTATTATTTAGTAATAAGTCAGGTAATTCAGCTAGTTAACATTTCATATTATTATTTTCATAATAATTCATAATAATTATTTTCGTAGAACTGTTAATTCAAATATGACCCACCCCGTGTGTTTTGTAATATTTTTACATAAGATGTGATTTGGATTGAATTAGTTTTTTTATACAATTAAATGATGTTAAAGTGACCCAAAACAGGATAGAAACTTGGTATGTCTCAAGATATAGGATACGTATGGTCAAGATTTCAGTAACATTTCAGGGCAGACCCTTGATTCTAGAATAATTTGTTCTCTGCTGACAATCTTTTAGATGTGTAACCTCCTCCCAGCTTCCTGATTATTAATGGCTCTCTTGGAGACACCATGTCTACCAAGCAGCTTCAATTAAACGAAGCCAAAGCATCTTTTTGTTTTTTACTCTAACCATACAGTTTCAGGATCAAACTCTTATATTTAACATATAGTATCGCTCACATTTATGCACATGTGGTCTTCAAAACATCATATAAACATACAGTTCTGAGATGGTTATACATACTCGTTCTAAACACAGTTTTGGAAACTTTTTTCTGAAGTGCTGCCCAAAAAGTAAAGATCAGCATTGCAAATTAGAGAGAACAAATTGTAGACTACA